ATCCCCCGTGAAGGCGAAAGCTTCATTCTTATGAACTGTCCAATGAGTAGCCCGACACATGGTAAAGTATAGTGTGGTCTCCAAATACGGAACCATTACCGTTGTGGGAGAGATGGGGATGGGGTCGGTGAAATCAAACTTCACCGTCGATCCGTAAACCGTCCGAACCAGTCGTTTGAGGCAGGCACTGCAACGCAGTTTCGAGGCAAGGATAATGTCATCTACATATCGTCCCGTCATAATAGAGCCTCGCCTACCTGGGTACTGTCTGTCCGTTGCAAATTCCAAATCACTAAATACAGTATGTAGCACAGCCCCGCTCAGGGGGGGGCCCAATGGGCATGCCACAGAGTTGTTGAATCACAAGACCAGCCACCAAGAACAGTCGCATTCCCAAGAAGCATGTTAGGGCCCTCCGTATACTACTGGGCAACCATACGGTCCTATCCCAGAGACGCTGGTTAGTGTGGCCCCCGAAGAACACATGGGACCTCTGGGTCCTCATCACCGTGACGCAACGTTTTCGATCTTCGTTTTCACTCGTGCCGAGCTTGGCGAGAAGGCGGTCCAAGCAGGAATTGATCCGCCCCACCTCGATGGCCTCGTAGGCTTGCCCAGCGTCGCCCACAACGACGCCCGGACAGGTAAGAGGCCGACCGCATCCCTTGCACGTGCATGGGATGCCCTGCGGAGGCGAGGCAAGGTAGTGAAACTGATCGATGATGTTCGGCACAGCACTGTCGAGCGAGGAGAAGGCCCACCCAGGTTTCATTTGGTCCGAAATGAATGTCAGCGCTCGGCCCAAGGATCGATAAAGTCCCCTCGACGGTAGCCGCGCGAAGCTGCACATATTTCTAAAACAACTGCGCTGAGGTTTCGCACAGGTATGGCGGCCTCCAGGCGGGGGATGGGGTTCCACACTCCAACATTTTAGCTTCACAGTTGGATAAATATAAGGGGTGTGTCGAGCGTTGAGTGGTCCCTCTCCTTTGGCCCGCATGGACTTCGGAATGGTGTAGTCATAGAGCAACCGATACCACGAGACCACTGCAGATTGAGACGAGCCCACCCCACGCCAACGCGTGGGGGCTCGAGCGAGCATGCACAACCAGCGCGCAAGATGGAGCACCCCATTCACCATCCACAACGTGTTGGGATCCTTGTCCTCAACCGTGAAGCACGCACCGTCGGGGGCCTCGAGGGCCCTAGTCTCAAAGCCGAGACGGGCCTCATGAAGGGCCTGATACCTGCGGGCTTCCCGAGAAGTCGGTGGGATGTCGGAGGTAGCCTTTTGTGGGGGTCGGTAGGTTGGGTGAGCTTTCTTATCAAGTCCCATGGAGCCAAGCCACCGCCTGCAAGATTTCTGGGTTTCGGCTTTCTGATTGTCGGGAAAGGCGGGGCTGGCCAATGGAATACGGGCATTCATGGGGATCCTTTCCATATCACCTCCACGGGCAGCACGGTCGAAGTCCTGAAGAGTCAGATCACCTAGGGATTGGAATTGTTGTTCCCGAAATACTCTGGCAATGTTGCAAAACCGTCGTCGTATTGTGGGTATGGGCTGAACTATAATCCGGGTAGCCTTGGCAGCCCAAGAGGCCCATGCTGGGCGCGAAGACCGCGCCTGGTGCACAGTACGGGCTAGCCAGCGGCGAACGCTGCCTACCTCGGCAGCACAGGATACCCGCACGCTAGAGCAAGCTGGGGTAGGGAGATGTAGAGAATGGAGATGATCCTTGAGGGAAGAGCGTACCCGAACGCGATCCATCCAGAATGGATACAGAGCTGAGAATTCCCAAATAGTGTACAAGAAATCACTTCCGTGGGGCCGAGTTCTATAGACTATTGGCCACGGCATGCTGCGAGCGTCGGTTGAGGCCCGCTTCATCATCAAAACGCTACTGCCAGGACCTGCTATGTGCAAGGGGCCATATCCCTTGCCAGTCATATAGTGTCGCTGCAGACACAGATCGCATAAAGTACCGTAGGGCTGCTGTAACAAATGTTGCCACCGATGTCGCGTGGCCAGGCAACGAGAAAACCCAAGAGACTTGATGCTGAGGCGTTGCCTTCGTTTCTCGTAAAATTCCTGTTGTAATGTGGTTTCCAGCAGTCCAACACTTATCCCAAACCGTTTCTCCTTCCGTCCTCGACGTGCCCGTGGGTGGGTGCGATGCCTTGCCCGAAGACGCTCAAGGTGTGGATTCGGAAGGTTATTCGCGGTCGGTCTGGTGCAAGCTATGCGGGCGCTTTCCACAGCGTGCATGGTAGCCGTTGGGACCAGGGTCAGGAAGAAGAGGAGGGTCCAAGTTGAGCACCCAGGGGCCAGCTGGAGGTACCTGTTCTTCTCTTTGGTGGGGGTTCCCAGGGCAATACATCGAAGGCCTCGTAGGTGCTCCCGAAACCGCCCAAAACCACCAGAATGTCCCGACGTCCCTCGGCATAGGGCCCCTTGGCCAATGTACAAACAGTCGGATCCAAGCTGGCACACAAAGCTGGA